ATCTCTTCTTTAATTGAGTCTTAACTTGAGTTAATTGAGCTGACCAAATTAATTACTTACTTACACATCCGCATGTGTTCAATATAAAATAGATCAAATAGAATATTGTATATATACATTAACCTCTATGTACTTATACAGAAGAGTTTCTCGCTCTTTTTTAACTTCAGCAGCAGTAAAAATTGAATTTTAATTAAAACTTGAAGCAATTTAAAAAACATTTCTTATAACAGAAATATTATCCAAACAATTTCTTCAAAATAAAGAATGCCGAAAAGAAGGAAACCAATTATTATGGACATTTGATTGCCAAATTTGCATTTTATTTATGCTTCGTAACGTTTTATTGACTGTTTTTCTTTACAGATACTTTTGGCTCTCTGAACTGAAGCATTAATGAAATATAGTGTACCAGGCAACGAAAAAAATCACATAAATATTTGGTACTAAAATTTTTGTTCATAAACGACAGGCAAATGAACTTTTATAATGAAAAATGCAAATTTAAAGTAAATTAAATTTTTTCTCCGATAACAATTTATAAAATACATTGTGCAATAGCTACATTTTTTTTCATCGTTTTACACAAATATATTGCTTCATATAGTATATGATTTTTCATTTTATTTCGCTTTTATTGAAATTTGTATGCAAGTCGTAACTTCCCAACGAATTATTTGAGGCCTTCTCTACTTTATTTTCAAAAAAGTGGCAATAGAAAAAATTATTTGTATTTTTTTATTAGTCATAACTTATTACAGTTCTTAATAAATAATAAATTATCTCTTCATTGAATTTAACAGAGAGCAGTTTGGCCTAATTTCCTAACAATAAGCAAAAACCGTACAAAATGGAATATTCGAGGACTCAATAACAGGATTTGTTCTCCTTATTGTTACTGCCAGAATTTTTTATCGAGTTTTTCTACTCTGGGCAGTAAATTCCAGCCAACAAATTGAAAATGGATTCTGGGTTAGATACACAGTTTTACCCAATCTGAACGATTTATTCGAACACCAGCTGTTTTTGCTCTCTTATGTTTCATATTGGCTACAATCTTGGGTTTTTTATTGATTCGGCGTTATGCATAAATTATGCTGCAAATATTTTACATTTAAAGGATTGAAAAAATTCCATGAAAGCAAAAAATATTACAATTTGTTTTGTGTTATTTGAAAAGTATTTAGGTTGATAGATTGTTTTCTTTAATGGTATTTGAGGATATCGTTGCTAGAATGCTGGCGGAGTAAAAACCGGCTGATAGGAGCAAATAGCAGCCAGGATAATACTTCTATTTATCTCATTTTTAAAGATATGTGCTTTTTATTAAATTATTGATTAAATATTATTCAAAACATATTAAATTAATAATAACAACAGAATAAAATTTATAAGGTTAACCCTCTTTAATACATTAGCTGAAAATATAATATTATTTAAGTATAGCGATTTTACTGTATTTCAAATATTTTGAATACAATTATATACAAATATAGATACCTTTGATTACACAGCATTTGTAATGAATCTATTAATTACAAAATACAATGATAACATTTTATTGAAAATTTTTACAATTAAAAAAAATATTTTTATTTCGAATTTCATTAGTTTCTGCTAAATAATTACAATATAATGTATTTAATATGACAACCAATCCTCCTGATAATAATTACAATAAATTATAATTCTGAAACCTGTGTGTAATTCATGAGGGAAAAAGTTGTAAATGTTGAGATATCGCTGATGAAACATAAATATTAGTTTAAAAATAAAATATAAAAGAATAATAAAGGGTGTGTCCCTTTGGAATGTTTTAAAATAGAAGCAATATATTAAATTTTTGAATCTGTTTGAAGTTTGAAAAACTTATACATATCTACAAAGTCCTGTTAATTATTTACTTTTAATACCTTAAAGTATGAACAAATTTAAAGTCTAAAAAAGACACAACGCACAGCAGTAGAACCATAGACAGGAGGAGCTGTGCAATGGCATTCATTTGTATGCACCCCAAGTGGCACGTAATGCTCTTGTATGTGGTTACTAGTCGGCTCCCAGTTGGCTGCTCCGGTATATTTGTTAACTTGAAAATGCAATATGTTGCATTGAAGCAACACAAAGAAAAACCATTTGTATTGACGTAAAAAATGCCGGTAATTTCACACACAATTGGCTAAAGCAAAATATGTTGCAGTTACAGTGAATTGCATTGATTGGAGTGGTTGCCACCAGTTTCAATATCATAATTAATATGAAACCTATTGTTGTAAATGTTTTTGAAATATCACTTTCGCCTTATCTATTAAATATTAAATGTTTTAAACTTTTCTTTAAATTTTTAATGCAGAAACAAATTTGTTCGAAATATATTTGATTTTAATATATTTTATTTAAATATAATTTAAAAAAATACAGAATATTTTAAATATTGTTCCTAAAAGAAATCTGTAAGCAATGAAAAGTGGTGAAATAGACTTCAAAGGGTTAATTTCTAAAAAAGATTTTAAAAATGTTTTAAAAAAGATTTAAAAAAGGTTACAATAAGCTAATAAAATAAGTTAAAATTTAGTTGTTGTAGATCGAGTGTAACCCTTTTTTCTCGTCTTTGCTATTGCTACGGAGTAGCATGACGATGAAATAGAGGGTTGCTATATTTAATTCGAAATTTTACTGAAAAACAGGTTTTGATACTTTACCATAAAAAGAATCTACAAATAAGTTTTTCCTTATAACTAAATTGCTAAAATTAACTTACATTAAATGCTGCATAGTAGATTAGTTACTAGATAATAGATAGCAATAATTTTCGCAAACCTACAATCAATCAATATACTAGGTATTATTATTATTCCCTGTAAAAATCTTACATTCCACTTCGACACTTCGATTTTATACATTATTCCAAATTTTTATTACAAATAAGTTTACTTTTTATTTCAAATATTTTATTCCAATTTAACAATTTTAACAATATTACATTAACAATATAAATAATTTTATATAGTTTACAATTATTTTTCTTTTTGAAAATCATTGATAATAATTTGTAAATATATTATTATACTTATATTTCTTTTCTTCTCAAGTTTGCGCATCTTAAATTTTTATTTATTTTTCTTTAATTATGTTAATGATCCAATGACGAGGAAAAAAATCATGCAGTAAAGCTCAAATCGCATTATAACCTTCTTAATACGCGAAACAAAATATGTGGCTTACAACATATTAATTAATAAAATAACGAGGGTTTAAACCGAAATAATTTTTATTTTAATAAATCCTTACAAATTATGAAAATGTATATTTCATGTTAATTTTTTCAAATATCAAACTTTTTATTAATTCATTATTCAAAAATATTTCATTATTACATTTCATCCATTTCGCCTCAGTTTCTTATGGCATTCTTATATAAATCAATATGATGAGCAACATATTTGGAACATTTTTCAAAAGTTTACCTTGAGACGAGTTATAAAAGATTTCCTTAATTAGAGTGAAAATGAAGTGTAAATCCCAAACGTACTTAGCGTAAGCGCACACCATTTCAATCCATAATGGCGTCTATATCCGCTTTCCACGCCATTTTTGTACGCGTGCACAAATGTATATTTTCCGCAACGCAAACTGGAATGCACAAAAGAAGAAAAAACTCTTAAAAGAGAAAATTGTTGCAAAAAGAAACAAACAAAAATGTAAATAAAATAAATAAATATACAAAAAAATATAAATATAAAAGAAATAATTTTATATAATTGTTCCGTGAAAGAAATGGCATTCATTAAACTATTTTCATTGTTTCACTTTTGTTTTCTATGTTTTTTTTAGTTTGGATTTGCTTTCCTTGTTGTTGTTGTTATCCGTTTCACTGTTACTTTACATACTCGTACTGTGCATGTGTTAAAAGTGCACAAAGCAGTGCTACCAATTTAATGGTAGGGACAAAGGAAAGTGCGGAAGCTGTGCTGTGCTGCAGCATGGCAAAGTGTATAAAACGTATAAAACGGTTTCTTCCATTTTGTTTTGGTGCTTTTTACAACACTGCTACAGCACTGGTACAACACTGCTTTCTGCTTGTACACAGCGAATGCTGTGGTGTTCCCATTTTGTTGGACGTATACGTATTTGCTTAAACTGCTCGAAATGGGGTAACCATTTTATTCCATTGTTGCAGTTTTTTGTACAATTTAAAGCTTAGCTTTGCTTGCATTGCTGCTGTGCAAATGTGAAAAGCAACAGTGCGAATTAATACTGACATCCTCAAGGGTATTTCGGAAAAACAATGCACTGAGTATAAGTATAAGATTACATATATACGACGGGTGTACAACAAAGATATGGAAGATAAATACATAAGCAGAGAAGGTACACAAATGCAGGATATTGTGGTTAATATGAAAATAAAATAAACTTTAAATGCAGGATATTACAAGTTAACGAAGCGACTTATTTAATTACGTTGTACAATACGGCGTAGAAACAAATGCACAAGTATGAGAGGAACGCGTTTGGTTTCAATTCGCATCCTTAGAGTATTCTTTAGTGCTTTAATGCTTATTAAAAAATGGAATTGAAATATGAGTACAATTTTAATAATATTGAGAATTTCACTAATTCCATGGAATGACAATGAAATTACTATATTCCTTTTCATTGATGTGCTCGTTGAAAAAGCACTTGTTATCATTCTTGATAAATGAAATAAAATATTCTTGTAAGTTTTTATAAATGTTGGCAATAAATCTGAAAGTATAATGGACGCAGAGATTAATTAAAAGAATTCAGGAATTTAATCTTTAAGATTTGTATTTTTATTAGTAGAAATGGTAAGCTTTGTATTTGTTGATATAAACTAACTTTTTTGCAAATTTAGTATTACATTAAATCGACACAATTTCATATCGGTCTTCATCCTCTATCTCATTAGAAACCAACAGTGAATGTTATCATCTTTTTGCAATATTAAATATCAAATATCAGTTATATTGGTAATTAATATGCTTATTAATACTTGGTCTTATCATTGTAAGTCAATATTTATATAATGGAACAAAGCTGCTAGGTGCATAAAACCACAGAATAAAATGATGGACATAATTGTTACTTCATAAAAGGGATTAGATGTATGTATTCATGTCATTATAAGAATAATAGAAACTGTTGCTTAGGATAAGTATGATTAGTTAGTTAGTCAGTCGTAGCTGATGATATATTGCATACAAATAATTCAACTAAAGAAATACTCATAACCATAACATGCAATCTTTGTCTTAAGGTGCTTCTTACAACTCTTGGAATCGGCGTTTCAGTATGCACACATCAACTCTTAAGTTTAATATTGGCATTTATTCTTATTCCCAAGTATAACATTCTAAAGTATTAAACGTTAAGTTAAAAGAGCTTCCATTTTATTATTATTTTGATTAAAAATACTTAATGTAAATCAAAGTGAATTTTTAAAATTTGTACTTTTAAATAAACTTTGTTTACTGATATAACTCAATGCGCTCTTATATATCTAACGCATATCAGACTAATGTTTCTTTAAGTTTAAATCTAAATTTTTCTTAAAAAAAGTACGAATTGTTGTCGTTGTATATCCTTAAGCATAAAATCCTACTTCAGCACTGTGTAGTACGTGTTGTGTGACATACAACGTGCTTAATGCAGTTTACAGCATTTTGCGACACTGTTCAATACAAAGTTAGTGCAATTACAATGCTTTGCTTTTAAGAAGCTGTTGGACTACATGATTTGCTTTTGTTAAATATTTTGGACAAGAATCGTCACTTAAGATACACAAGCACATAATTGAAATTTTCCAAAATCACAGAAATATCTATTGACCAAAATCGGATTAATATGAAGAAAACGACATGTAAAGCGATAAGTTACTAATTAAGTTTCAATGCACAAATGCACTATATGTGTAGATCAATTACTAATGATACATATATATTATTTGTATATGTGTATATCAATTAATATATATATATTATTATTGAGTAAATAAATTATTTAATTAAATTTTATTTTGCTTTTATTTACAGATGGCAGTCGTTTTGGCGAGAGCAGTAGCAGTCGTCTACTTCCAGACTCAAGTGTGCCATGTCCTACGGGAATGTTTCGCTGCAAAGATGGTAAATGCATCACTTCATTGTGGGTGTGCAACTATCAGAAAGATTGTGATGGTGGCGAAGACGAACAGCAGTCATGTCGTAAGTACAAATTTGTTCAAAATAAAGACTGTAAGCCAAATTGCAGTAAATAACCAATTTGTGTTTTCAGCACCGCCTGAATGCGAAGCCGGACAAATCAGTTGCGGCCAATATATCTTCAATAAAACATATTGTATACCACCACATTATCGCTGTGATATGACAGACGATTGCGAGGATAAATCCGATGAAGCGCAGTGCAGTAAGTTTTTCTTGCTTTATTTCATTATTTTTTCTTTCATTTTTCTTAGCATTATTATTTATACTCCTTCTGATTTGCTTTTCAAGTACAATTTTTTTTACGTCAATTTGTTATTTTTATAAATATTGCAATATTGCATGCCAAATAATATAAAATTAGTTTTTTTTGTATATTTTTATTAATATATATATATTAATGTGTCCTGCAAAATTTAGCAATGGTTTTTCTTTTTGACAATATTTATTTCCTTTTTGATATTGGTTAAACATTTGATATGAAAATAAACATGCAAGAGAAATTGAGCAAATAATTTATTGAAATGAGGAATCGAGTAGTCCTGTCGATACAACGAAATATGGTACTATAGAAAACTATGGTATAAAATATGCCAAAGGGAAATATCGCTCCTTTTAAGTAAACTTTAAAGAAAAAAAATAACAAAAGAGACTAGTGAACAGAAAGACATGGTAGTAAATTTTGTTGAGTTATGCAAAAATATCTTTCAACTACGAGGACTTTTATCTTGCCTGTTATATACTATATTTACAATATGCCTTCATCTCTAGCAGTAAGGAAAATTGATTGCAAATTTATGACTCGTTAGTATGCATAAATTTGATATTTAATTTGACAAAAAAGAATTTAAAAGTGATTATAACAAATAATCAAATATTACGAATATTTCAAAATATCTTATGGTTGCCACACTGCAACCGATATAAGAGACTGCTACATAGACTTCTTTAAGTTTCTTATTTAAGACTTTAATAATATTTCTCTTATATATTATATATCTTATTTATATGCTAAAATTGAAACACTTGATTATGTCCACATTTTTCAGTATTTTCCTCCAAATGTTAGTAAAAATGTTGCTCTAATGTCACATATCTGTCTACAACAGCAATTATCACACCCACTTCACTAGAGACGAGTACTAAATGTATAACCAAAATTGAAAGCAATATCAACAAGCAATAAAGTAAACTTCACGTTTCATAGCCCCACAAATTTCATAGTTGGCATTGCAATTTGACTACAATGTCAATGAAATGTCAACGCTCTATTCCACAGTGTTTCGAGCACGTCACGTAGACAAAATAAATTCTCTGGAAATGTAATTAGACAGACACTTTGCGACTATTAAAACCGCTACAGAATTCGTTTAAAGCTAAACTTATTAAACTTGTACTCTAGTTTATCCCTTTACTCACTAATATTGACTTTTTTAACTTTAGCAATTTATTAAAAACAAACTAAAGTAACAATAATATTTTCCTTCTAAAATTCAACACTTAGCATAAGAGGGAAGGCTAAGAAATTTAATTCAGCGATTTAATCTCACATTCTTAAAATGGCATACATACCGGTCTGATTCTATCGTTGTTCTGGTGGCTCAAGTAGGATAAAAATATGTGAGAATTTTGTGGCAAACGTTGTAGTTTTAAAAAGTCTTGAAATTGAGCCAAGGAAACCAAAAATAATAATAGATTCTGTCAAAACAAAAAGAATATATAAAGTTTAGAAATTAGTGGAAGGAAAAAAAAAAGATAAAAGTGATTATGAATATTATAGTATTCTAAATACTCATAGTTCACTACTTGAAATTAATTGCCACACATCTTGTAGTTTTGAAAATCTCTTCTTAAAGAATATGTGTAATTTAGGCTCACAAATGCTTTCTATTAAAAAGTTACTAACAGCGAATTTATACAGTGAATTTATACAATCTGAAACATATCATTAAATATATAAACAAATATCATAGTACTACCTAATTTTTCTAAAAATTCAATATTAACTGTTTCATTTATTTTATAATATATGCAACCCATAGAACATGTTATGTTCTCCCGGCTATATGCTACAGATAAACCTATGGATTCCCAGCGATACCAGATGAACCTAAACATTATGTAGCTTTGTAGTAGTTAACAATATGAGTATGTTAAAATGTGTTTCGAACAAATGATTTAAATGAATGGTTTATGTCTGATGCATCGACCAACTTCTTTACTGCAAAACCAGGTCAATATTGCTAGATTGATTCCAGTTATTTCAGTTCACTAGTGTATAAAAATCAACGCACGGAAGGTATTGTTGAAACTGAGACATAGAGATCACAATAACACATTTTTTGTGTGATTCCTCAAAGTAATAGAGAAAATAATTCTACTAAGAGCAGAAATGGCTCTTAAAGGGTATACTTTTTGTACAGTTTAACGAGCTTCACATCAGTTAGAAACAATAGATTGCATTTAATTTACCTATTGGGATTTATTGGTACGAATGTGGCATTATAATCGTTAATTACGAGACGTGGCAGCGTATTTGTTGAACTCCCGCTGCAACTAATCAACGAACTATGTCATATTTATATAAAATGTCATATTCATTGTCGTTTTTTCCACATCTTATTATAAAATGTTTAGTTTTATTTTTTATCGAACTCTTGTAATATTTTAATTCTAGAATCACACACTTTACTCAGTATTTCCTTATTAACTACTACTCGTGTGGTAGAGATGGTATATTAAAATATTATTATTAATGGTTTCATTTCTATTATTTAATTTATAATGAAATGTACATGTACTCCTAATAAAATGCAACACATAGTGAATTTCTAAAAATTCACTTGAATAAAAAAATGTACTATCTTCTGGAACTGTTTATTATGCAGCAATAAATTTTATAAAAATTTGTTCGTATGATAAGTATCAGCAATAAAACCTCACAATTTGTATGCAGCTCTAAGCAACAGCGGAGTCAAAAGAGAAAAAGATAAATATCTTCAAGATATTTTACATTGTTACCAAGTAAAAATAAAATTTTTTTTAAAACAGAATATATTTTATGGTAAAATAAGTGCATATGAACTTATAACCAACACATTTTGTTCAAAATTTTAAACCACAAACGGTACTAGTAGTAATAACAAGGTACTCTACTTCTTAAACAAAAAGTGGAAGCATTTTTTGGTAGTAACAAGACATAACGAGAGCTTGGTTAAAACTTTGATGAAAAAAGTATACTTGTTGAATGTAAGCTGAAAATAGTATTTAGTAGTATTATTTCACTAACCATAAAAAAAAATATGTTAGGATTCTAATTGAATTTTAAGTTTCAGTACTAAATCATGACTAAAGAAAGAGTTACGATGCATATACCGTACAGCATACTGGAAGGGAACTTGAAATGTTCCTTAAACTTTTAATATGAAATATAGTAGTATGTAGAGTAACTGAAATAAGAGGTATTTTTTAATAACAAAATATGACTAATAGTATCTGTAAGAATAAATAATTTGAAATAAATGCTCATAAGTCATATATAACAGAAACTGAGGCGTATATTTAGATTAAATATGTATTACGAATTATAGATATATATACCACACATATGAAGAACATAGTGGAGTCCGACAATCTTTAATTGTGTTGTATATTTGCTTAAAGAAATAAAATGAATAAATATAATTGTATAAAACAGACATATATATAATATATAAACCATATGATCAAGCAATAACTACTTGCATGAGAAAATACCTAACCTATACTCTATGCTGAACTCAACAGCGAAATACAATCTTTTGCTATTTAAATTATAATTAGCCAAACGTTACCAGTTGCGTTCTGTAAGCTATTGATCTCCAGGAGAACATAAAGAAACCAATGTGCAGTACAAAATAATATGAACTTTAATACGACAACTATGTTAAAAGTTAGTTTATTATATTTTTTGTACAGTTTTATGGGTCCAAACATTGACTTTCCGTGATACTGCGTCTATTGCTACATTCCATAAATAGTCTCTACTCCTCGGTTTCTAATATACTTATATACACTTTATGTTTGTTTGAGACGCAATGACAATTTATAACTCCATTTATAGTTTGTAGATCCCATCTGGTTAAATTTAGTAGTTATTTGCTTTTTCTCCGAAGTACTTTTGGACAAATGGCATAGTACAGCAAGATCCTCCCCAATTGGACCATTTGTGGTTGGTAGCAGTAATAAATTCTAGTTAAGTTAGGCATTTTAAGTGTTTTATGGAGAGACCCGAAATTTACTTCGGCCTATACCATGGATTTGATGCAGTTCTCTTAATCAACTAGTCCACCATTCTATTGTAATCAAGATTCAGTTTTTTTTGTTTTTTGTGGTGAGGAGGTGAAATGTTTTATGCACCGTCAGACCGACTGTTGTCGAAATGGTGTGCCCGACTCCCTTACATTAATATGTAGTATACGGACTAAAACACCCCATCTTCGGTTAGATTTTTCCCCCTTGGAATCGCTTTCGCATTACTTTGAGGAGGGTCTCTTTTATGTTGGCATTTCAAGCTATGCGCTAGTGATTTTCGATCTGCGTCCAGACCTCTACTTTTTCAGTAGTAGACGTCTGGACGCAGAATTTGCAAATCCATAAATTCTATTAAAGGTATTATTTATTTATATATTCTATATACAAAAATATTAATTATTAAAAATTTTAGATGAAAATGTAAAACTAATTAATGTTCATTACTTTTTTTTATATTTTTTGTTTTAAAATGATTTATTATTGAAAATATTCTATGCTTTTTTAATAGATTTTCCATATCTTATGATTAAATTTTATATGTAGATTTAAAATTTTCATTAATAAAATTTATCTATAATAAAATTAAAATAAAAAAGCAATTATAAACTTAAACTACTATTGCTTCAAGCTACATTTGGTTTCATGTTTGCCAACAATTAATTGAAATTTTTATTTTGCTTTGTATGGTAGAAATGTGCATAAAAAGTTTTTAAACTTAAATTTTTTGGTTTATTCAAAGGGAATAACAATTAGAAAGTTAAAATTTAAATTTAATTTAAATTTTTTTCTGCAATAAACTGTTGAAAATTGTTTTATGAAATAGATAAAATAAATTATACAACATCGTTTGTTCAAAACTTAATAGTATTCATATGAAGTAAAAAACGAATAAATTAAATTTTATGTAATGGA